ATCAAAGCGTTACATTCCGTTACAGACCGTTAAATAAGTGGTTAAACTACTTAATTTGAAAGATATCTTCTAAAATAAAAAAATACTTCAGAGTACTAAGCTGGGTTTACAGGCGAGTGCAAATAAAATGGTTAAGTTTAGTTTGTGATCATATTACCTAAACGTTGATAGAATATGACAATGATATATAATCAGATAACAGTTATATTATATATGTTAAAGTTTCCAGATGGAAAGAAATTAGACTCCCTTAGAAAAACTTTCAAGCTAAACACTTCATATTTATACACATAGTTCCCTTTATTATTTTAAAGAGAGCAAGAACAAAAATTGGTGCAGAATAATATGAATTCATTTTATTTCGTTAGGTTCTCATCAGCTGCTTACAACCTAAATTATTTAAAATTCAACATTAATACAGATATTGACATATTTATATATAAGAGTGTGATTAAGGATCAATACATGTGTATGATGATGTAGCGAATATTCAGATAGAGTTAATGAGCTCATAAAATGTTTGATTCGAATAAATAAATAAAGTTTGAGAGGGAAAGTTCCAGAACATTGAAATAGTGATTAGAACTCATGAAAATAGATTAATGGTAATAAAGAAAATATGAATTGAAATCAATCAGTTATGTATGATGTAATTTATATTTCAGAAAGAGTTACAATAATGACGTAATAAATAAATAAATAGGAGCAAATTAATAGAAAGAGTGGGGGTTATTGTTACCAGGGTAAAGAAAGATTTATTACTGTCTCTTTTTGTATACATAGATCTGGTTTTAAACGTTTGATTGCTAACGCTTCAGCGAATTTCAAAAGGTTCGAGTTTGATTGTTTGTTAATCACCTTGAAGGACTTCAGTATATCAGCTTTATGTCCTGTATCAAGGAGATGTCTGGCGATAGCACTGTTGAATGCGTTCAATCCATTTAACCTTAAACTTTTCGGAATATGTTCTTTGAATCGGACGTAGGCTCTCCTTTCTGTTCTACCAATGTAACTGCTTTGGCAGGTACATGTAAATTTGTATACACAGTTGGTGGTAACATGAAAGGGATACCTATCGACCTTTGATTGTGTCAAAGAGCATGTTGTTTTGGACAGGACAATCAATTTCGCTGCAGGATAAGTTCTTGTCAGTGCAGTTTTTAGTCTCATATTGATTGATCCTGTGACATCGTCACCTTTGAATTGAAGTTTAATAAAAATAGGCTTTTTATTTGCTGTAATTTCTTTCGGCTTTTTAACTTCACATTTGCCGTATTTCTCAATAAATTTCAGTGGGTATCCGTTATTCTTTAAACATTTTTTAACATTCATAACTTCCTCTTCTAGTGTATCGGAAGTACATATTCTTTCTGTTCTGTAAAACAGTGTTTTGACCAGTGCCTTTTTGTAACTGATTGGACAAAAGCTATTGAAATTAAGATAACTACCATTCCATGTGTCTTTCTTATAAACTGAACGTTGAACTGTACCATCTTTTCTTCTTTTCATCGCGATATCGAGAAAATGGAACTTGTTTTCTTTTTCATGTTCCATAGTGAAATGGATATTCGGATGTGCTTCATTGAAAAACTCTAGCAGATTTATTGCATGTTGTTTATTATTACATACGATGAAGGTATCATCAACATATCTCGAATAATACGTCATTTCATCAATCGCTCGTTTGAGTTTGGTTCTTTCGAGGTTAGCCATGAAAATATCTGCTAGGATAGGACCTAACGGACTTCCCATCGCTACACCATCGATTTGTTTGTATATGATATCGTTGAACTGGAACTGAACATCTTTTGTACAAATGAGTAATAGTCGTTTGAATTCTGGTACCTATTTCGAAGTTCTTATTTTGAAGACTTCTTTTAATAATCTAAGCATTAGTATTAATAACCTATAACCAAAAATCTGAAATGACAAAGTACACTATTCCATGTTAATTTTATTTCAAACATACCGTAGTGTGAATTTATGAAAAATCCTTAGATGAATCAGACTTGAGCCATATTATTATTATTTGAGATTATAATGATGTATTGCTTTTGTAAAATAAAAAGTAGACATGATAACCTATCCAATATGAAGGTTACGTTTGAAGTATAGTTAATAGCATATTATCGAATCATATACACCTAACGCATTATATGCACTATCATTAAATTTATTTCCCAACAATAAATTACAATAAAATTTAAAGCAATTAGTCCCTTTGATAAATTTCGACGATGTAATAAGAAGATCAAGATTATCAGAACTATGTGATATATTAGCGCAATACGCTTCGAACAATCTGATCACTATGGCGTGATTAGGCTTCAAATTGTGTTCGCATTATTATCATTACCCTTATTATTATCTTTGTCTCCTCTTACCCCATTCCCAGTCTAGTTGACCTTTTATTTATAAATATAAATGGTCTTAACAAGTATATGCGTGATCAGATTGTTCGAAATGTATTGCGCTAATATATCACATGGTTCTGATAATCTTCGTCTTTTTATTACAATAAAATTGTATTAAAAAAACTAATCTTAAGGCTGTACACTTAAATACTCATACAAACAGTTAAAAATCTATTAGCAGTAATGTCAATGTAACATATCCAGTTAATTTCATCGAAGAAACAATGATAACATGTGAAAGTATAGTTACAATCCTGAATCAAAGTTGTGCCTTTCACATATTATTTATTACTCGCGAGTTATCAAAATATATAATATCAACAATAAAAGGATAAAATATTATAAACCGTACAAAATTTTGATTGCAAACCTTTATTTCTTCTTCATTTAATGTTTCATGAATCAAAGTGATGGAAGAAGTGTAACGGTATTTGAAACAAGGATAAATTGTAGCCAACTGGGATGATTAATAACAAAACACCAGAATAAGTAGTTATTAACAAAGATCATAAACAGTGGGGATTTAATTACGTTTTAAATAGATTGGGCTGAATCATCTAACTCCCTATCAAATCTCGGTTTTGATAAATAGATCACATATCGTGTATACAATAGACCCGTGATTATTTTCGTTTTTTTATTATAAATTTATTTAGTCAAACTGTGCAACTCTAATAAAAATGAGATAAATATAGATACATAGACCAGTAATTGATGCTAAAATTGGCCACAGTGGGTAAATTAATCAGCAAAAATTCTATTTTTGTAAGATAAAAAGATGGTTGTTGCTAACGGTAAACAACTTGTCAGCAGTAACGTTTCATTGCCCCTCTTGTACAGCATTTGATTGATTATCTGACATTAGGAACATCTATTTTCAGGAGCTTCAGTTCACCTTGCATTAAAAATAATTTACAGTTAAGACAAAGGTCTGCTAAAGTCTTGATCCAAAAAATGTTGAATACAATATAATGGTAATTAAAAGCATGATCGTTTTATCCAATCTCTTGGCCTTCTTTAAAAATCGAGTGGCATAAATTTCAAACAGAACAATTCAGTCGATTAGTTGATACAGAAAAAAAAACATTTTTAGTCAAAATAGTAATAAAAAGTAGTTGTCCATCATAACTTGAAACTATTAAACATAAGGTATTCTATACTCCTTCTAAAGTCAACCAAAGATTTAAGTGTCTCAAACCTGATTCAAGTACTAATCAAGGTTTGTTTAATATAAACTAAATTTTTGAAATACCTAAGAATCTCAACTTTTAATCTACAAAATGTTAAGGGACTTCTAAGACTGATCATATATGTTATGTGAAAGCCGAAGAATGCCTGACTTTACATATATCCGATCAGTTTTAGTGAAAAATTCTTAAGAACGTTTAGAAGCCAACTCATTTAAGTTCTTTCCTAGTATAATTGGTCAATAATCTAAACGATTATTATCATAATTATGTTTTCTTAACGTTTCTAGGACAGCATAATTACCGGTAATCGTATAAATATCCCCTGATATTCATAACTAAATCTGACTCGGTAATAAAGCTTCCAAAATATTTTTTCTTTTATTCTCGTGTTGGGTTAAAGAGATGAATATTGCAAAAGCTTACATATCACCTAAGAAATCAGTGTCTCAAACTTTCGATGTACCAAAATTATTAAAATGTATGTGATATTATTTAAAATTTATTTGAAATCCAGCTTTAACCAATTGAATAAAAGTCCAACTTACTGGAATCAAAACCGGATTCACTTGATAAACTGAAGCATTGAATAATATTAAAATATAAAAACCCTTCAAAGTTGACATTGAATTGCTTTTTATTTGAACTATCTCACAAATCAAAGTAAATTCAGGTCCAAGACCCTGAACCTAAAAATTGTTAATTATGCGTTAAAACAACGGAGATACAAATAATTAAAAATGAAATATTTCGCGGATTTTCTTACTCCAAAAATATCTAGCTATAAACGTCTAGAAGAGTAGGAAGCAAACACTGATAGTCAATTCTGTGTATTGTTACGCAGTAAGTGAAAGATATGCTATTCCAAATATCACCAAACCTATTTATGATAGACGTTTATTCAATGTCATAATATACCGTGGCAGTCTAAACAATACTAAATATTAATTTATATAAAAAACTGTGCATCTATTTAACCACTGGCAATTAAACAAATGACATTCAGGTGAACAACATCATTTCAATGTGGTTGTGTTCTTTTATCACCATTTGACTAAAAACAGTACTCCCCTAATATGCTAAATAACTTCACCCACAAAAGCATTTTTTATGGCTTATATGTAATATGCTACTATTTTCTCACTAACTTTACATAATACCGTTTAGAGCCCACCAACTCTCACAAACGTTATATTTTCTGACCCGTAAGATGACACCGACACTTCGATAATAGCTGAAGAGTTTAATCATCAGTATTTTTACGGTTATTGTTGACTGCATAACGATTGAATGATCTTGATGTTAATGAAATATATGCCGTATTTGATTGCATATATATTCTGTCAATAAATCCCGTTAACAACAACGTAGATATAAAAAGTCGAATACGAAAGTATTTGAAGGACATATATTTCAGAATTCAGTTATCCATACAAAAGATAAGAGATAAAGGAAAATGCATGCGAAATGGATTGACTGAAATAACCAAACGTAACCTAACGTTTATCGTTAAACAGAAAAAACATGCTAAACAGTTATGTGGGATAGGGAAGGATATTAGTAGACATATTCACACATACGCCCATATAAAAACAATCACGGTTACAATGGAATAATTGACAATGACAAATATATATGTAAAAAATTATTCAAAACTATGAAATTAATCTATCTGTTCAGAAATTTGAACAAATAATGTAGGTGTGCACTAACAGAGAAGCTGCTACAGTATCACAATTTATTACTCATGATAGCGTCAATAACCCAACTACAAAATAATATGTCTTACAAAATGATTCGAATTAACAATAACACTATAAAGATATGTTTGCTTGAGGAATACTTTTGATGTATTAGGTTTTAATCAAAGTACGATTCTTTTTAAAAGTTTATTAGAGGACACAATTCAATAGTGAAGAAACTTACCTGGACATTTAATTTAATTTGTTCACCATAACCAGAAATCGGAATAGGATTAGAATGATTTTCTAACATATTAAGAAAGGTGGATGAAATTGATCGCTTTACAAAGCGTAAATCATTCACAAATTGACGATACATTTCTGGAAAAAAATTAACATAAACATTCGACATAAAACATAATGTATCGTACACAACTCCGTTAATAATGAACAAACATTATCAGTCACCTAATTTGAAGATGTGTAGGTTAACCATATAACTAATTGGTCTATAATAACTTATCTTTAGAAAATTATATCAGCAAACAGTAGTACATTTAGGTAATGTTACTGTTTATTATATGTAGCACCTGAAGAGTGAAAAAAAATCGAAAAAGAAAACAAAATACATGAAAAATACTGTAACAAATACGACACCGTCGTTAATTGTTTAATTATTATCACTAATTTAATGTTTCAATGTATTTACAGAGCATTCAAATCTTATTTTAAACCCCATGAGTAACAGTAGGCAATAAGCTGAATGAATCTATAATGATCATGAGAAGTTACGAAAAATTTACATAATACATATACATAGCCTTCAAACATCTATTTTCATCTTTTGGTGTGTTTTGCAATGTGAACCGTCTTCTCGTTACGTCAAGCTTTTGCTAAACTAACTTTCTTTTCTCCGTCTGACGATCGTTGCAAATTCCGCTGCATACTACTTACAAGCAATGTTGTCAGTAGCGTCCATTATACCTACAATATATATTCATATACTACGTTTTTCCAGAGTAAACTAATGTTTAGAAGTTATAAAGAGAAACTCGAACAAAACACAACAGAACTTTAGTAAAAATATCTACGTATTTTAATAAATTATTTTAAATACAGAGAAAGAGTAAAATCTGAAATATTTTGATGAGGAATAATTGAATAAACACTGGGGAATTTGATAGGAAACAATAATCATCAGTATGATGAACAATTAAAAGAAGAATACTACCTTGCCTCATGATGTGGTGTGTGCTACTTATAATATTGACATAAGTAGTATATGATGTTAGTCGTGAACAGAAGGTTTGGCAGCAAAGAGACGAGAGGATCGAACAGTAAAGAATGGAAACAGGATGCAATTTGTATGAAAATGCAAGAACAATGAAGTCTGAGTCATTTTGAGGCAATTGATGGACATTTTGCAAATAAAGCATTTACTTTATGATTGTTAGATTTTTTAAAAAGTCCTGTAATTTTGTGCTAAATACATTCGATTGTCCTCACTCGTGTTCTGTTCACTACAACTACACCGGGTCAAAGTTGATAAAGAGTGAAGTGCCGTCATTCTCTAAAAAGCTGATTTAATTTAATTAATATTAATTATTATTGGGAAGTACTTTTTCTGTCAAGTGTCGTTAATAATAATTTAAAGCTGCCAAGAAAGGTAAATGTGTTCTCTGAAATACAACGATTACTATAACTGATATTAACATTTTTCTTCTTAATATTCATAAACCGTACATGTTTATTTAAACACAGCAAATAATCTTGAGTTTTGTACAATACAGCAGCAAAAAGTTCACTTCATTTATATCTTTCCCGGAAATAAGAAATTTCGTTATTTCATATCTGCATCACATTAATACTTCACAAATAGTTATGTTAATCGAGTTATTTATTATAGACATATACACAGAAAGAATACTAAGTAATAATTCCATTCCTAAAATCCTGATCTCTTGATAAATTAAAATAAAGCAAGAAGAACAAAATTTACAGAATAACATGAATTCACAATATGAAAAGGCTTCTCACCAGCTGCAAACAGCTTAAATTTATATAAGTAATACCATAACGAAGGGCGTCTACAAGGTTTTTGGAACATATTCCGCGTCAGATGTGACTAAAAGGAAGCAAAGTTTTCACAAACATTAAATGATTTTAATGGATAGAGGAAACACAAGGTGGATTTTTCAGAAGCATTCAAAATAATTCACAGACAATGTATGTCTTTTTTACTCCGTTTGCAGAAGTTGTAGACATCAAGAGCTTTCAATATGATGTTTGTATAAAGAAAGTGTTGTAAACCTATCGTTGCCATGGTAAAATAGTTACATTATTTTAAGCCTTATCAGTTACATTATCGCTTTAATATGGTTTCTAAATAAACATCAAAAATTTCACCGACAATCACTAAAGACGTTAATTTCAATGTTACGTTAAATAGGTATTTTGGTTACTACTCATTTGGAAACAATTTGTTTCTATTCATTGTCTCTTCATGATCACTTATAACTTCACCTCCTCTTTTTTATGACTTCATTCTCAGTATATAAATATCAATTGATCAATATTAACTACTATTTTAAACATGTTGTTTCCTCTTGTTTCTTAAGTCATTTCAAGCAAAACTTCATTGATTAAAGTATATGATAAGTGATTTTGTAATAACATTAGTGATGTAAATCTAGATTGTTTCCAGCTGATCAGAACCTCTGAAATTTAATGAATTCATTTAATTCTGTGAATCTTGTTCTTTTTGTTTTATTGATTACCATTTAAAAAAGTGAGAATACTCACGCGGTGCATTTAATTGTTCACGAGTTGTTAAATCCATATATAAATTTGATTTTTTAGGGATATTCAAATTATCAAGTTTACCGATTGTACGAGAGGTAATCACATCCATCGGAATAAAATTAGCTGTACGTTTAGCAATTAAGATTAACATGTGCCCAGCTAAACGAAAAAATGAATAAATACATAAATAAATTCAGTTTTACGTTGCAATTAAAACATTTATCCATAAGTTAGTTACAGGTATTCTAAGTATAGATAGATGATGGCTAGCAATGGAGTCCAGGACGCACGTTTCATCCTATTTGGGGCTCGTCAGCTGGATATACTTTCATCTCAGGGTTGACTTTCATTCCAGGACTCTAAACCGGTACTGCACTCTTCGAAACGCGCGTCCTGGATTCTCAGTCAGTCAGTAAAAACGTAGAACTTCATACGTACGTACATCAGTTCGAGTTGCCACACCACATTAGCACAGAGATGCGGTTGTCTACTCAAACTCCGTAGTGGTAGAGGTAGTAAGAACATACGCAGTAATCGGGAACATTAGGGTTTGAAGATGTTATTCAAGAAGTATAATCCAGTGAAATAAATTTGGAAAGAGAAAAATAGAGACAAGGAGGATTCAGGAGATTAGAATTTGGGAGAACACAGAGAGTGGATGCACCTGCGCCATTGCAAACGATTTTGAGCCATGTCATTCAGGGCCTCTAACCATCAGTTACTATCATCTCGTGGTCCCCAACTAGGTAGTCTACACCTACCAACATGGCTCGGTCCACTTGTCAGTAACTTCATGGACTTGTGCCATGTTTTGTTCTGGCCGCCTTTAGCTTTCTTCCAACCTACTTCTATACCATTGAACATCGTAAGTCGAGGCAGTCGGTGGTTGGTCATACGTAACACATGTCCCAGCCATCTCAACTGGATTCTACTGCTAGCCACTATCATCTCAGCCTATAATGCTTGTGATTTAGGGCAACATCGGGGCAATTTACACGGGATACACATATACCAATAAGAGATGGACCAATTGCAGTCCTAAACATCGATGGGAAGATCCAAATAACCAATACAAAATGATTTAGTTACAGGTAGGTAGAACCTGTTTACTTCGATCTGGGCACCCAGGCAGTATCACAGCTCACTCACAAATCAAGTGACTTGCGTGGCGCATATCTGTTTGGTGCCTCCTTGTACCAATGTTTATGTGTTCAGATAATAATAATAATAATAATAATAATAATAATAATAATAATAATAATAATAATAATAATAATAATAATAATAATAATAAGGTGGAACCTGTAGTATAGATAAGGCTTTGAAATACTTCAATGTATATAAGTAAGTTTTCCTCATTAGTAATCATTTACATCAAGAGATTTATTTAAAATAGTAATAATTAACCAGTAGAAGGTGAGTATTTTCGATGTAGCCTGTAAAAACGTTTCATTAATGTAATTAGACTGTATAAATAGAGAGGAAACTGAAAAAAATGAGTATGTCTTAAGAATTGTGTTTGGTAACCTCGATCACAGAATTTTCAGTATAATTCCAATTAGTTGACAGTAAACATTATCAGCATGATAGTGCAGCATGGAAAACTATCTGAAAGTTAATCAAATGTTATCATTCTCCGAAACTTAGTTTCAAGTTGTAAGAAATATAATTTGAAAGCAAATATCATCAATACAATTTCACTGTTTCAGTGGCAGCAGTTAACAAATTATATGAACTTGCGTTACATTATGATTTTAATGTCAATGAATACTATTTATAAACTTGACACTTTAAGGTTTACGTTAGCCTCAAATTTCAAGTTATAGCTTTTTGATACATGTCAGTAAGAGGGTTGTGGAAATTGTTTCAAAGATGGTCTAGATTAGATCGATTCATGATTTTAATGAAACTGATAAGTTATGAACATTTATATTGATAGAAAAATGTGAATTCTACAATTTTCAACTAATTAATTGAATAGTGAAATGTACAAACAGTGGAGTTTATCATTGAAAATGATCGACAAACCTTGAGATACAAGTATTAGTGTATTGATTTCTCTGTCATATTTCCCAAAACAGCAAGCGACAATTGGATCAGGTTTCGCTAAGTGATAACCAATTAGTTTACGTGATTGATTGTTGTTCTGTTCAGTTTCTGTCACCTTAATAGTACCTGAATTACCAGATGTAATATTGTTTGGAGGATTACTATTATTATCCTCAGGGCTAGTATTCTGAGTAGAAGGAACCCATATGATGCATTTGTCACATAAATGTTGATCACAGTAGATCTGGACTGAACCATCTGATAAACATATGATATAATAAATTTCATGATTTCTATTATTTGAACTATTAAAATTCATTGGAGTTATTGTTAAAATTTCGCACGAATGTCTTACTCTCCAAATTGGTCGACCCTAGAAAATTGTATAAAAATGGATTGAATAGTAACAAAAAGAGAAAAACGGTTAATTCATAAATTATCTATAATAAACACTGGATCAACTTAAGGTTAAATCTGAAACTGAATTCTTTCAAATAAGAATAATAAGGGTGGTAGCCCAATGACTTGCAGTTGCTTTATTTCACTTAGATTTCTAAGTTCTGTAACAACGTCAGATAGTAGATTGCTGTCACATATGCATTTTCTTAGAGGAAGAGGAAGTGAATAAGAGATTTCTTAAATAAAAATATGTAGCAAAGATTTCATTAGTGGGTAATGAAACATGACTGATACGTGAGTTAGTGTGTGTGGAAGAAATTTTCAAAGGCACAATATTTTATTTAATATAACCAATTTATTCGTCATTCCAAAGTTAGCAAGGTTATTTTGTGTATTAAATAGAAAAAGTGAACAGTTCAGAAAAGGTGATGTGCAAGTGATCGTCTATGGTTCTCTGATTAGATTAAGAAGATTGTTCATAAATTATATCAATTTGCACCAATTTTTAAAATAACACAACACCTCTCTTTTTTTCTTACCATAGATCATTATTTTAAGTAATGCAATTAACTATAAATATTGTTGTACAGTTAAAGTGAATAAGATTGTGGAAAAGAACTTTTATTCACTAAGTTGTCTTTATTTCTTCCTCAAATTGAGTTTCCCCAAACAAATTATCAAGAAATTCGATTGAAAAAAATCCATGCAGAACTCTAACCTAGAGCATAAGTTATGCTTGGAAATCCCGAAAACGAACGATACATTTTGCTTAAATTAAAATAATATTACAGAAAGCACTAGAAATTTACAAACTTCAATCTATGAGATAACTGAATACTGATTGATCTATCAAAAAAATGATATACGAATGTACAGTTGACTAGATGTAGTATTACAGGTGGCTCATCCGATGATGAATAATACTTGTGGTGTCATGAAACTCGATTTTTTTAAAATCCACTTGTAAGAATGCCTCAAATCCTGTGACTACAGTATTAAAGATAGTGAGTGTCAGAAATTTCAATTTCAATTTTTTTTGAGGATCCCGGTATGTGTTTAACTCGACCACAGTTGTCTGGAGTTGAATCACAAAATTCATTGAAATACTGTCATTTAAAGCTTGAGAAAATAAAAAAACTGTTTTCCTAGATTCCAGTTCATTTAGCTCGATAATCGTCGGGGGGGGGGCATGGTAACATCAAACGTTAAAACTTTAAATGACAATGCACAGATATTTTGTAAACATTTATTAAATAGTATAAGGCGCTACTGATTCATTCTAGTTATTTACCTCCAGTGAAAATCCTTTAACTGTTTGATCCATACAAGCAACTATAACAGCTTTTTCTGTACGAAGTAAACCGATAATCTGTGACCCAGTTTCAACATAAACCTTAGCGTTGGCTTCTCCACTTGAAGAATAAAAACAGAAATAAAATACTAGTAGCTGTGTCAGCAGTAAAAGATATGAAGGTGTAAACTACTTTATCGGGACCCGAGAGAGAGATACTTAGGCAAAAGGAACAATATATTCATGTAAAAACCCGATTACTAGTAAATAAAGTAATTTTGACATACAAGTAATACCACTAGTAGACGAGATGTTGTGGCAAAGCTAAGTTACAAAATGAGCAACACTAATTAGGGTTAAATCATGTCACAGGATAGTTCAAGTTTCCATTGGGTTTCATGATTTCAGATTACGTTTTGTTCGACTTGATCTATTTGTTTGGTATTATCGACAACTTTTAAAGTTTAGGGTTGGATGTTGTTTAAAAATTCAGGAATAAGTCTAGTAAACAGTTTTGAGAGATTCGTTTTCATACTGTTAAACAGTCCAAAAAGTGTAGAGATTTTGGTTGAGTTCTATAATCCAGTGAAGTGAACCAAGAGTTTCTAATATATTTGGTGTGTGGCTAACAGTGTAATCCAGGGTGCGGGTCCCGTCATATCTGGGAGTTGTCAATTGGATGTACCTACATCTCAGTATTGTTCACACAGATTAAATTTCAGTGTTTTTCACCTAGAATTCCAATGAGTTATCCATTACTTTAATGAAGTCATAAAATTTTAACAATACCTTCATACAAGTTATAGGCTATCCGGACTTGGTAGCTCGGTGGATGACTGAAATAATCAGTGAATGGGACTGGTCTGAATGACTATAGTTGACTATAATCTCTTTATGCATAACACAGCTGCAAATAAATTGATATAAAACCAAATATTCGAAAAGGACAAACGGCGATATATTGGAAATCACACTCATAATTTGTTACAGCTTCTTTCCATGAATGCTGCCGACAACTCGGTGGTAGTTAGTTGAAACAAGAATAAAATGAATGTTCATAACCATCCACTACGTCTATTACTCAGTTGTTTATAAAAAAGAATAGTACCTTAACTTGATCGATTAATATTTCGTATATTATTGGCTTATCTGCATCCAGTTTAAACAGTAATAGTCTTAAAAGAATTATAGTTCCTGATAATGACATATACACTCTTCGAACTCATATCTCCGATTAATCATCACTGGTTATAAAAAGTAAGCAATAACTTGATTAGTTTGGATTTTGAGTTCCGTTATTTTATTTAACTCGAAGTTCGTTTTATTGGATGAGTTAATATTATTTTTACCTATGTCTTAAAAAAAATAAGCCTGTTTTAACAAGTAAATTTGTGTAATGACAGATTGAATAACAATAAGTGACAATTTCACGGTTCTTACAGCTTTGAATTTCATTTACACTTGAAATAAACCAAAATCTTTACAAAAACAGAAACATAAATGTTGTAAAAATTATTTACCGTTTTATGGAGTAAATTATTCCGTTACGACATGTCACTAAAATATGATAGTCAATATCGAAGGATCCTATTGCGTTTAAATGAACTGGAACAGATGGTAACGCAATCTAAGATATATAAAATAAAGACGATATATATAATTAGAGGCTTCCGAGGTTATTTTGTTGTTGTTTATAATAATACTTCTGGAATAATGAGGCTTCAGAGAAGAAACGTTTCTTTTTTGTATGATGACATTTCATAGAATCGCACGATATAGGTATTATTTTAGTCGAGAATATTGATAAGAGAAGTTATCAAACCAAACCATTTCAAGATCAGATTTGAATGCATTAGTATGATTATATATGTATATTTATGTAGAACATTTAACCGTCATTTTCAGTGTGGCTACACAAGAGATAACTATTATGTTACTGAAACAGTTGATAATGAATAAGAAAACCCATAGAAAAATTTCATCCAAAAATTATTCAACACATCTAATGCGCTTTATTTATTTTTATCAGTTCAGTAAGTTCAGTATGACAAAAATGAACCGATTCGAAATTTTATATTAATTGCAATGTATTCATTGATTTCATTAAATCAAGAAGAATTTGATGTACAGATAACGAAAACATCTGAGAAGATTGATTTTAGACTAATGACTGCATTGAAAATGAGTTATCCAGAACAGAAAAAAACTCGTTTCAACACATTAGACAAATTGCTGATCGTGCATTTGAATTTGCATGTACGTGCCAGAGCTTGCTTACTTACTTACACCTGTTACCTCTTATGGAGGAAAATAGACCGCTCACTAGCATTCTCCATCTAAATCTGTCCTGGGTAATCCTTTCCAGTTCTTCCCAGTTGCTATTGATCTTTTTCATTTCTGCTTCCAATTCTTGGTTCAGTGTGTTCTTTAGCCTTCCGCTTTTACGTTTCCCTTCAGGATTGCAAGTTAGCAGATGCTTCGTGATGCAGTTTGATAATTTCCTCAATGTGTGTTCTATTCACTTCCAGCCTTAAAATGTTAACCACACGTGCCAGAGCACATATATTTAAAAAGTAGAAAGGAGAATTGATGTTTTTATGTCCGAGACCATTCTTTAAAAATTGAGACTAAGAGGTTAAAATGTCGTTAGTAGAGTGATCGTCCGTTATCTACTTGATTGTGGAGATGATTGTCAGATTTACAATTATCCAAAATTATCAAGAAACAAACCATTTAGGACTAATGAGGTTTTGTAGAAGTCCTTACTATCAAAGCCGTAAACTGAATTTATATATTTCAAAGGAATATTGTCACTTTTGCATTGCTCTAATAATTCCAGTTTCCATACTGCACTCTTATAACATTTTTTGTTTATGACTACATATTATAACTGTTTAAAAATTCCCCATTATATCAAACCCTAGTTTTATTAACCATTTGTTTAATGTTACATAATTCAGAGCCAAATCATGATACTCATAGCTCAGTCACAGTAAGATTAACAATCCATTCAAAGCTTAACTTATTTGAAATTATCAAGTCGAACCGTGACAATATTATTTATATACACTGGTTTTTTCCTGCGAAAATAATGAGGATTATTAATTTTAGATTACAAACAGTTAAAGCCAATAAATAAATGAGTCCATATTTTTCCGTTACGTCCGTTATTTTTGTTCTATTATTATTTATCAATAGGAAAAATTGTATATTATTTATCTTAATAGTTGGATTCATGAGTCATTTGAGGCAAAACCACCATGGAAAACCTGGAATCACTGGATGACCGTTTCGTCCTAGTATAGGACTCCTCGGCAGTGCGCATCCACGATCCCCGTCATGGAATTTGAACTTAGGATTTATCGGTTTCGCACACGAACGTTTAACATCTAGACCAATGAACCGGCATCCCTGGACGTTAATGTCACTTTTTTCAGCCAAATACAACCTAAATATGTTAATTTGTATTATAATCAAAATATAGGTTTTGTCGTTGAACGGGGATGATATTAAGACCCGTGAGCTTTGTAATTAAGTACAACGAGCAAATAAAGACAAATATTTGAATAATTAGTTTTAAACAATAGTTTGTTTATAACATGTAGTGTTCAAATCTTCATTTACTAAGCTTAGCTTTTGTTCAGCATTATAAATATAATACTAAACTATGATCTCGATATATCATAACTTTATTGAAATTGGGAATGTACATTTAAAGTTATCGGTTATCAAAGATGATAGGAAACTAGCTACTTAATCTTCTTTGATTTTCAGTAGTTTTCTAGTAGATTTTAAGCCATTATGAAAGTTATATTTTAAATCTTTTTATATTTTAAGTAGCTTGTAGCCCATAATAAATTATGTGATATAATAAACTTGTTATAATCTCCATATTACATCTCTATTACAATAACAGAAAAGGTTTATTATATTAATCCGAAAACATCTCTTATGATCAACACTGTCGTATAAATTTTACTTAACAAGTGTATTCATACTGAACTAGTTAACTAAGGAATATGAATTTCAGGCAACAAAATTTTATAATGTTATGCTTTTATCAGATTTCTTCTACAAAGTAAACCAGAGTAAATGAGTAAAGGTTTTTAAGAGCAAAGAGTACAGTGAAATAAATGAAATGTTTGTTCTTCATATCTACCGAAACATGCTTAACTTCAATAGGTCTAATTCTTTCTCATTCGTAGTGCTTTTTTAACTGCTTTTAACTCATAAAATGGATTATTAAAACATCAATCAAATTCTTAAAATCAACATGTTAAAAAATATGATGAAATTTAGTTACCTCACATAAATTATTGTGTGATACACAATCGTAAATATAAACAAAACATGATTCTGTGCCAACGATTAAACAGTCCCAGGAATTAGGTCCATTGTGTTGTTTACTCATTTTAGTCAAACACGTTGCTACAGTCTGCAGAAATAAGTTCAGAAATGCTAAATTAATAAGTAATACAATACGGAAACATTTCTATCACAAATACTGAATATAACAATATAAAACCTGGAAAATGATTGCATAAAAGATAGCTTCTCCTACTTGCTTTTGAAGTGGAATCATTCGATAAGTGTTGAAAAATTCGTGTAATAGGTCTCCAGGTAATTGTAGATACCGTATAGATCTTGAAGTTAGCTTATGCATTTCAGATCTTGAGTTTAAAAGAAAAACAAAAATAATAATAAAAGATTACTTTTTTAAACAAATTCAATCACAATATTTTTTTTTCAAAATCTGGAATAATAAAACATTTAATATTGATATTGATTGAATATTATATTCATGAGACCCGAAGCCCATAGAGTAACCTTTTTAAATGGTTCATTAAACGAGCGTTAAGTTTTTTCTGCTTTATTAAGAATATAACATAAGTTACTATGAGCATGTAAATCAGCTGATCATGGTATTATCTTTACTGTAAATGAAGTCCATTTTTAACTATGTTTTTCATTACTACAAATGCTATACCTCTTCATTTTTAAATGAGCACAAGGCTAGATAAGACTATCCTACTATATCTAGATGTGACGCAGTCACTTTTAGGTTCTGAAAACTCACTTCTCCGAAATAGCATCCATCAAAACTTTTTTTTAATTGCTCAAAAAAATCTTCAGAACTGTAGTTCCAGTACTCACACTATTTTCAACTTTACTTAGAAATTAGTCCCGTGAAATTAGTTTAGCGTGATAAACGGATAGCAGGGTTAATTAGTTTTGAGATCCCTTGAAGACATTATAAATCCGGAAATTTGTAAAACACCAATATGTGAAGTCTGTCAAATTGTGAGTAGTCATTTTCATTTAGTTAAGTCACGCTAATAAACCATTGGTGTTTGAAAGTGATAACACAAGTAGTTGTAAAGTGGTGACTTAGTGGTTGCATCATTCAACTTTGACACATTAGGGAGAAGGTTTGAATCCTGACTTTTCTATTTTGGTTTGGGCAACCTGGTAGTATAAAAAAATCTCAAATAAAAAATACAAATCAATACCGACTACACTTACATGTACCTGTAAATAAATTGCATTACATCAAACTAATTACCACAAATATTTACTTGATTTCATTCAGTTATCTAACATTAAATATAAGGAAAAATTATAGGAACATACCCAATCTGCTTAAGTTTTTCACGTAATTCCTCTGGTGTCAAATTACCCTGTAAACAATAGGAAATTGATTGTTAAACAATAAATGATTTCACAAAGTAACTATGTGAAAAGTGAGGTGGAAAATTTGTAAGTTACTCAGACAAGACTTATTTCAACTAACTAATTTGCCAGTTATATAAATTCTCACCTAGAAAGTAGTAAGCCAATGAGAGTAAAAAAATACTTATTTAAGAGATAAAGTAACAATATCCATCTGAAATCAAATCTTTCAACCAAATTACAAATAAAATGTTTTCAATACTTTAGTAACATTTAAAAGGTTCACTGTTTCGAGATCTCATTGATTGATCTTACAAGTTGTTAGTTAAAATACAATCAATTAGAGTTGATGATTCTGTTATTTATAATTCTCAGAAACATTTTCACTTATGAACTCTGAAATTCAAAATAGAACAACCGGCATAAAGTAAAGGTAGATTTTTTATATTACAGAAATGTGAGATGGTGAAGATTTGTAGCTGAGGTGGATGATTTTGATGGAGTTTTATTCTTTGAACTGGATGATTTTGTCATCGAGTTTTCATTATTCTCAACCACATGGTCAACATGAACTTCAGGTAGAAGTGAAGTGTTCATAGTTATTTAGTTGGCAAAAATTATTAGCCCAATATTCTATACAGAATAATGCTGGATATATTTTATTGTATAAAATATAACAATCATATGAAATTTAATAATCTCAATAGTTCAGATCATGAGTCAATTGAAGCTAGATCACCATGAAAAACCTGGAACCACTGGACGGCCATTTTATCCTATTGTGGAACTCCTCAGTAGTGCGCATCCACGATCCCGCCTCGTGGGATTCGAACCCAGAACCTGTCGGTTTCGTGCGCGAACGCTTAGTTTCTAGACCAATGAGCCGGCCGGCATCCAAACGTGTTAATGTCTAACTTCAACAAATCCACGAAATCGAGTGACACATCCACCATTGTCATCAGTGATTTATTATTTCAGAACAGACCCGGTTGAACTCAATTGGTCACTGCTTATCACTAGACCTCCAGGAAAAACCTCTTGGAGTCAGTCATTAGTGAGCAGATACTGATCAGTATCAGGGATTTTTGTGGATATTATAATAATTTCAATAGTTAAGATCATGAGTCAATTGAAGCTAGAAATTTAAAATTTAGAAATAGAATCAAACTTCCTTTGCACATTTTTAAAAATTTTATTGATCATAAAGCATAAATATATGTGAAAAATAGTGAAAAATTATTATTTTTTAAATATTTACCTCTCTAGCTTGTTCCCATAGTTTGAGTTCATCCAAATTAGGTTCCAATGAAGGTAGAGTGTATTTATAATATGATGATAATTTACAGTAGACATAAATAAATGGTCCAGCAGCAATAGCTAAATCTTATACATTTCAACATAAAAATACATGAGTTTAATAAAGTAATGAAAAACTAATAATAATAAGTAGGACAGACATAATTTTAAAAAAATAATAATAAGTGATATGTAGCGATTAGTTACATCAGTCAATGAACTACAGCGTAGGACAAAGCACATATATGCATCGGTCCAAGTTGTCATACCTCATTAGCACAACAAGATGAACACCGAATTCATTGAAGTAATTAGTTACATGAGACAATGTCAACCAAACAAATTTCCAATTTAAAGTTAAATAAACTAGGGAATTTGAAATTAATAAATTCCGAATCTATTAAGGTATCAGTCAGTCAGTCAGCTACAACGTAGGACCAGGCACATATATCCATTGGTCCAAGTTGCCATACCTCATTGACACAACAAGATCAACACCGGATTTATAGGAGTAATTAATTCAGTTGTGGTAATATATAAAAAAAAGATTGCAGTAAGGATACAGTACAGAAAGAAAGAATTAGTTCATAGAAAGAAAGATATGAAGCGATTTTAATCTCTTAGTTTAAGGGAAGACAGAGAGTGTATATACTGACGCCATTGTGATCGATTCTGAGCCATGTCACCAAGAGTCTCCAACCAGTGGTTACGATAGTCACGCGGACCCCGACCAAGCAGTCTGCACCTACCAACATGGCTCAGACTAGAAGTTAGTGACTTCAAGCACTGATGCCACGTTTTGGTTTGGCCGCCTCTCTTAAAGTATGCAACTAACTGATCTAAAAGGAATGTTTAGAAAAAAAGATGATATTACCATTTTTGATTCATTAAACGTTTTAAAAGTTGGGTTACTTCATGTCGTATGATGGAAACCAAAAACAATTTACCTGAAATTCCTACTGTAGGTTAATTTTGGAAAGAATTAGTGTATTCTGAAAAGAAGTCAATCCCATAGTTGACAGTGAACTATTGATTTATTGCTAAATATATTAGTAGTAGTTTGCCCAGAGTGAAATTTATGATTAGCATGATTATAGTCAACGTAGGGTAAGAGAGGTAATAATATAACCTAATCCGAGATTATGTGATCTGTGGAGTGTTATAAATTAAGATATAGTTGAGTGCTAAATAGATTGTTTTAGAGTATAAGAATAAAAACAACTAAGTAACACAAATTTATTTTGAAAAAAAAGAATAACAATTCTTGAATTGATAGAAATGTAGACCGTCGGATGTCAACTCGGTGATATGAAAATCAATTGCCCACAGCAGCATCTGACCGTCGTGAATTCTTACGTGGTCGTGGATGTACATTTCTTCAGAGTATTAAAATAGGATAAAATAGCTGCCAAACGTTTCCTGTTTTACAATGTTGTCTAACGTAAGTCTACGCGTAATGTGAAACCTCTAAGAACAATCCGTTTCGCACTCACTTTAAATTCATATACTTTTGAGGATTACATAATCTCCGGGCAAACTTTATTATAGTTACCAAACGTATTTCATTACTTCTGTGACGATATCTCTTATTAAGTCCCAGATACTTTTATTGCTTAGTATTATTGGACTTCGCTCGACAAGTCCCCAAATCAGAACACGCTTGAACATGAACATAATCATATTTCAAATGGAAGTAGGAATCCCAATAAGAAAAATTGTAGTATATTTATAATTTTTACATAAGAATATTCTAGAGTCCTTTCCAAGCATCCGCTAATGCTGGTTGACTAAGAAACAGCCAATCAACGTGTCCAAACACAACCCTCCACGGAATATGCTTCAATCCAATCTATAACTCGCTAACAACTTCCCTCACATTACGTTATCTCCATTTATTCTAATTGGTAACCACATAATCTTATCTTATCGGTGACCTAATTCATGTAAACACTACATAGTTATGTATGACTTCTAAGATAGTAGCAAACGGATTCGTTGTTATCTCCTCTTAAATTTATCACGTTAACTCTACGAAACAAGACAGGTTTAAGTTGTATTACTGAAAAATACTGTATTTGGTATTTTTACTATAAGCAGAATATTATAAACACAGGGAACCTCCTGGAATATTTTTAAAATAGATTAGAATATTCATCCTAACTCCTGAAAGAAAATTCAGTTAAGGTTATTCCTCTATACTAAAATTTTGGAACTTAACCGTCCGAGATATAGAAAGTCTTAAACATGTATTCAGAAATCAGAACATAGCTCAGTGTTACCCACCTAGACAATGTTTGTCGTTCCCTTTACACTTAAATGGAATAATTCCAGAAGGAGCTTCAAGGTATGGTAATTCATTGATGAGTTTAGTCCCCTTAAATATCTTGATTCTGAATTCAAAACCTCCTAAGTTAGAATGAATATTTTCGAAGTATTGACTAAAATCAGCAATGATAAGTTCATTGGTAGACGAGTCAAAAATATCTCCAAGGCACATGCACTGAGAAAAAGTTGATAAATTTATGGTTATATCATGTTTCGCAAGTAACCAAGAATCACTGATTGCCATTTGATACATAGTAGAAATTTGCTCCTTCGTATGATCTGTTACCATCATTTTTACATTTGTGCAATAAGAAGCCCCAATCTATAATAAGAAAGAAGTAACCAGTTAGACAAGTAATAAAAGTTATTCGGAAAGACAAAATGAATTTATGAACACAGAAAACTGATATTTTATTTCCGTTGAACGTTCTTCATATTGTTAAAATTTCATTAAAACCTAAAGAAAAACCTACTCAATATTGCTATTTAGCACTTTGACAACTTTCTAACATCGAAATCACTTTATATTCTAGTAATTCTAAACTAATTACGGTGATAACTTATTAATTATAACGAATGAAGTGCACTATCAATATACTAAACATTTTTATTTTTCAGCACGTTTACGTTTTCTACACAAAACTTAGGAATCAAGTATGAAAATCTGTATGAGATTTAGGTCCTAAAATGGTATCCTAGTACGCATCTCTTATTTAAATAAATATTGTTAAAATGAGAAAACTGGATCTTAAAAAGGCACATGCGATAATTTTATATCTGTTTAGTTCAAAGGTTAATGCGAAAGACTTGGATATTCATTTTGTAACAGGCTGTCAGATATGAAGTGAATTAATCTATCAGAAAGACAGTAAAATGCTGTCTGTAAAACGAAAGGTACAGTGATTTTAATGACCAAGCCCTCAAAACTTTCATTTGGATTTGACGAAACTAATAAATATATCACGAACTCGTCATTACTATTTATAAATTAAGTCGACAAAGGAACATGTAGGTTCACTGTAGACAACACTGGGTTCCCTTTAGTGAAAATAATCTCTTTCTTCCTCATTGTAATGACAGAACTGAAAGGACACTCACTAATTTAAGATGATGGAAAAACTGCAAAGCAATCACGCTTCACTATGATCAGCTAAATAATAGAAGCTGGAAAGTTAGAAGGACCATGTTACAGAGACCTACACAGACTAAAATTTTAATGAGTCAGTTTTGATAAAATTTATCGTTTCAATTTGCACAAGCAATTTTTTATATCTTACTAAGAACCTAAAAAGTAAGTTTTAACAAAACCCTGACTGATGTTCGATTTCCTATGGATAATCAGATCGACAAACAAATAGGTTTAATCACCCATGTTTTATTTTAAGTCTTGGTGAATCTTCTATAAAGAGTTTGGAATTCGTAATGTGATAAATCTGTCGGTGATTTGAGAAGAGAAGTTGGTGCTTTTGAAATTCGTTATGATGGAACATTTTACTCAATATAGCTGTTTAAAGATTAAATAATAATCATCTGTAGGCTAAGTAAACAACTTTAACGCAGGTTTGTAATTGTTTCGGAAATCAGTACCGAACTTCTCATAAAACGTTGGGAAACTGAAAGAACATCCACATGAAAATCATGTAGGTGAAAGATTCACACCGTAAGGCTAAAGAGTAGTTGTTACTATTGTTGCTGTTTAAAAAAAAGTTAAACACATCTCTTGGAAACTATTAAACGAAAACGATATTAGTATTTCATAATACCACTACTCAGCATGCTACAATCATCCATAAAGTATGCGATCTCAAGGTTCACCCTAACCTTATCAAGTATGAAACCCTAGAACGATTGTTTAGCCCAGCCATTAAAATTTGAGAAGGCGACGAATAGACTAAAAACACTTTTGACGATTTTATTATGAGAAAAATGAGGGTCAACCAGATGGTTTTGATCAGGAGATCATATTGTTAAATACATAGTGTTTTAAGGAAGTAGAAAAAATACAGTAAAACCTAATTTTATAAATTTCGGGTTAGCACATAATAGGATGGCAAAATATGGGCGTTGATTCAGAAGGCTCGACCGACTTTTGACCACTTGGATAACTTGTGGCGTAGGAGAGATATCCATCTGCCAACCAAAGAACGAGTTTAATGCCCATCAGTTATGGATGTGAAACATGGCCATCTAGAACAGAGGATATACGTAGGTTATTAGTATTCGATGATAGGTATCTTCGAAGCATTGCTTCTGTATTTTGGGACCACTGAGTTACCAATGCTTGGATGAGAAATAGGATAATAAGTAAGCATGGCAAATCGATTGATGAGGTAGTGAATCTTCAATAACTGAGGTGGTTGGAACATGTGTCACGTAGGTCAGTGAATATGATCATGACCTAGCAAATAAGCCAATCGATCTTAGAGATTATACTTGAACACTTAAACTCTTTCCCGAAATATAGTGGTTTGGGGCTGGTGTTGTTTTGGACATTGTAGGTTTATATTGAATATTGAAACAAACATGATTAAATACTTTCTCAGTTCGCTTTCGTCCCTTTTATTGCCATCATTATGAAAATTGGACAATGTGGCCGATTTGCTAAAAGTTTGGAAAATCTTGATTTTGATGTAGGATGTAAGTTAGAAATATTGAGTTCTCGTCCATGTACAGCATTATCAGCTGACTATAAAGTTCACCACCATCTATCTTACGTTGCGTTAGATTAGTGTTTGTCAAAGCATCAAAACTATCTGGATGAGTTACTGGTGAAAAACCATCAGAAACGCTAGCAACTATCTGTCCTACTTTTAAAAACACAATGGAATGTGGGTTCAGTTGGACAGTCTATCCCATTTGTATTCTTAATTAAAGAGACTTTGTTTTGAACTTTGTACACAACATATATCAAACGTTATCCAAAATTTGGATACAAGCAACAATTGCGTGTTTTAAACATAAACAGGTAAGTTAAGATGAACTAGATAATCAATAAATTAATTTATAAAGCAGTTTTACAACTTCTTTATGCTAAACAAGCGTATGCATTGCCCTGAGTAATGTTTTTACGCCCATATATCCAGGTTATCAGTTTGCAGCAAAACGTTTTAAATAAGAATATATCACAAATGAATTTACAAGCTGAAGTCGAATTGTATATATCTAGCCGCTTATCCGTCATAAATATATGAAGTGACATATTCCATTAGTCTGATAGAAAATATTAGCACCTAGTGATATCTATAAAGCAAGTAAGAATCTTTACTGCACTGTAGCCTAGAATTTTATTAATACTACAGAAAACTGAAATAGCCTAAGTTCAATAATAACTGTGACCATATAACTGATTTAATTGCTGAAACACAGCGATGAAAAATGTTTTGGAGTGGGTCAACACGGCATTCAAATATTTCTGAAACCTTTGACTACTATAAAAACGAGTAACTTTGCAAGAATTTAGGAACTATCTGTGCTGATTAATAAGACAAGTTTCAGCTTAGACATATTTGCTGGATCCATTTTCTGATGAAGCCACTAGGTGAAGTGTCGGTTTGATGGTGTTTTTTTTTGCAGAACACATTTTTAACTCATGACCTCAGCTTACCAGTGACATTGCATTTAAGTGACTTTGCGATCTGAATCATGGTCCAAACAGCGTAGGATTACTCATAAAGCTGATTCCATCAAATTCTAGCATCTTGAACCATGCTTCTGCTTCATTTGTATAGTCTTATTATGTAAATAATTAACCGATCGGAGGTGGAAGAGAACAAGATAGAGGCTTCTGCAAAATAAGAGGCTTGCATTAAGACAGAAATTCGGAGGGGGGTACATGATGACTTATATCCACAAATTAGAAACGGTTTGAAGAAATAAAATGTGGACCGTGAGATGCTGGTGAATGAGTACGTCTTTTAAGTTACTAAGTTGACCAAAACTAAGGAGGTTCATGCAGGATTATAAACATCTACCGGGCAACTATTTCTGAAAAATTAGGCACTTCTGCAATGATATAGCATGACCAGATAGTGTGCACAGAGTAGCGAAGTGTACATGAACAAACTATTCAAAGTTTCATAAAAAACATGTTAAGGAATGGCGTTAGGTGAACATGTAAGATATAAAGGTTTATAAGAAATTAACAGCCAATTTGATTTTCCTGTCTGAAGTAGTAAGTATAAAAAGATGGATGGTTTGTAATAATACGGGCAACAAGTAACACTAGTGATGCACGAGCGGTAAAACAAGAGATTAGTGCTTTAATTCCGTATTTTAAGTGTGGTCAAATTCTATCACCGTTATTGTATATGGTCTTTCATAGCGTCAGCAAACAACAAGAAAGGTAACCTGGGGTCCTGGTTAGATCACTCGTATAAAAAAATAAGTGGTAAAGGTTCAAAGGCTGTACGTTAAAGAAATCAACTTCTCATAGATTATTTTGTGGATAATGCATGATTTGTTCCTTCCCGCTCTCATCTACCGCCCTCCTGGATCGCATATGATTCTTAAACATTTTGATCTCCAATCTGACTTAGATGAATTAGTTAGATGGGCTCGAGGTTGGGGTTTAAGAGTTAATTCTAGGAAGAGTGTGCTCATGAACACGGTAAGTTACCATTATACTATTGACGGTATATCTCTTCAACGCGTTCGGGAACATAAAGACTTAGGAGTAATAAAAAGTCATAAATTGAAAAAACAACTGCGCATTGCAGCGCAGCTGCTGCCAAAGCTTATCGTGAGTTATGGTCACTTCGCCGAGCATTCTGATGCTTTGACGAAAAAATGTTTCGAATTTTATATCCCAACTATGTAGGATTACGTTTAGAGTACTGTGTACAAGCAGCTAGTTTATGTCTAATAAAGGATGCTAACTCACTTGAGCGTGTTCAGCCTATGGAAACAAAATTAGTGAAGGGTCTTTCTAAAATCCCTTACGATGAGCGCTTAAAACGCTTAAAGCCTTCCACTTGTCGTATCCGACGACGCGAGGTGACTTTATACTGGGATTTCGTATCTTTAATTATGGTTTAGTTGTTAAAATGTCTTATCTTTTTGCTCCCTCCAGCACTAATAATCTCCGAGGTCACGGTAAGAAGGTTCATAAAGCACGATTTAATAAATCTAGAAAGAGGACCCATTTTTCTCGTCGAGTAGTCAATAACTAGAACGCCTTGTCCGAACAAGTGGTATCAGCCCATCAGTTAATATTTTTGAGTAAAAGCTGGACATTTATTGGAAGGCAATCTGTCAGAATTAACATAGGTTCGCCAAATTACAGTCCTTATTACTGAGGACAAACTTAGGACTGATGTTCCTCCAACTCAAGCTACCAAAAAAGTGGAAATAAAGGGGAACAAAGGAGAAATAAAGGGGAAATGTCGCTTTTTCACCTTCACGTCGGTTATTTAGAGGAAATGGCCTTTAAATACCATGTGCTAGACCATATCTTCGATTTTAATAAAGTCATTGGTTTTAAAATGATCAGCTGTCGTAAGTTTTGCTTCAAAAAAGCCAGTACAGTCACTTTCATATGCCTTTTAAAACGTATGGCCTTTTCTCCTTCTTGAAACACAATACTATGTATGAAAACTTGTTTCCAGGCCGCCACAATCACAACTCATAAAACTTTATACTTTCCAAACTAACATCCTAGGAAGTGATAACAAATGAAACTTACTGTTATTTTCGCGGTGAATCAACAAATTCAAAAAACTACTCATTTTGATGTTTATAATTTGATGCGTTTAAACAAAACTATGACAATGAATCCACCGTTGAAAATTTTCATTAAAGTATGAAAATAAAGATGCGATTAAGAAATAAATTCGTAATCCAAATTTAACTCGAAACGCAACAGTTTATTACAATGAATCTGTCTGGATATTCAATAAATCACACACTTGGCTGTTTGACGGATGTTCGGTCTCTATAGAGCAACAAACTTTCTATGCATATTATTTTTGCTCCAAACTTACTCACAACGTATTCAGGTAATCTATGAGGGGCAGAATGTTGCATTCTATTGTAATGCTACCGGTGGCTCCAAAAATGATTACATACACTACCAATGGGAGGTTAATAATCGTGATCTAATAGCCACTGATGCCTACTTTCATATAAGAGGCATTCAGAAAAGTGATGAGGGTGAGTATAAATGCATTGCTACTCAATATGTAAATGGGACTCCTATCGTCGCAACTGAATCCACATTTATCAGTGTTCGCAAAGGTGAGTAATTTGACTTTTTTAATGTTCCTGTAAATACGTTTATGTGTCTTCAGTACTATTTAAGTGTTCACAAACATTGTAGTGAGTTCCGTCCAGACTATTGTTTTTCCAACTGATGTGATCCTTGTAGAAATCCTCTAAATCATTATAAAGTTCTGGACAGTCTTTTAATCTATTTGTGGAAGGTCACACAATTTGTTCAGGGATTAGAAAGCAGTTTTCTAATACGTCTTTTTACTTCAGTTTTTCATTAAACCCTTCCACTTACCGAGAAATTAACGTTTGATTATTTTTACTGAAAATTTCGAGAGAAACTCCTTTTTTTCAAATATTTTATTTGAAAATCATGTCACTCTGTTTTAGACACTCCACACATCACAGTTTTTGATAAACTAAGGATTCTAGAGTTTATTTTTAATATGATTCTATAAGGTTAAAACTCACTGAGTATTCATTAATTCAAGCCAACTAGGCTTTTTATACAGGAATATTTTGGTAATCTCTATTTTTTCTCTACATTATTTATTTGAGAAGAAAACAATTCTTATGTCAAACCGACTTCCTAATAGCTGTGAATTTTAAATGTTGAAATCGTATATATAGTTTTTATCCGAATTTGTTAATTCATTTGTTATCTTTTCACAAAGGCATTATTCAAATCTTAATACTTAAAAGACATATGAAACTAGTGTTCAGCTTTTCCGACATCTAAGTGTTTATGTTATGATGAAGCATAATTTACCAAATTTTTTAAACCAATGAAGCATTATATTTTGTATTGTGAACTGATTGGTTGTATTGAACATTACTCAAATATAATCGGCAAGCACTATAATCAAAATATTGCAGGTTCATTGTTATTTATTTCATAAGTAACTGGGGGAGTAATACAGGATAATTTTATTCATAGAATGACAGTTTAAAAACTAAGGTTGATTTTGTTGTCAACGTATATAGAGTTTTAATTTCATTTTACTCTGTTATTTTACTTATCAACGTTCTAAATATCTATCATTAGAAAACGTACAATTTGGGGAAGAATGGATTTTAGTAGCCTTAAGACAAGTGAAATGAATCATGCTATTAAGTTATCTCGAATTATTAGATAATATACGTTAAGAACTTTTATAAAGTCTATATATCACAATTTCAAGTAACCAACATTAATTTGAATTTAATTATGTTGAATAAGGTTGATAATTTACCTCAATATAATGAAAAAGTTCTTGAACGGAAGCAAACAATTGCATTTTCTTTCATTATAAGCTAGTGTTTACCATTTAAACAGGACTTATAAACAGATTAAAAGTGCAATTTGAATCATTCCGTGGTTGATATTTTCTACTGAATTTTGATTAATCTTGATTGGCATATGTACATCATATATGGATTGCCTCAATATATCCATTATGTTAGAAATTATGCGAATATCGCGGATATAGTTTTTACAACTAGATTATCTTTATTGAAAACTCAAAATCATTTTATCATTAATATAAGTTGATTATTTGAATTGTCGGTTATAACGATTAGATAATTATTATTACTATAGGATTTATAGCTTTTACATATTTTCAGCGGTTGCAGACTTATTATTAAGTAAACAGTAAGTATTGATTGTTTCAAAGAAAGTGAATTAAACGTGTACAAATACAGTTTCTTGAAGATTCTACGAATTCCTGTAGAAACTGTCTTTTTATGTAATAATCAGGATAATGATAAATTATCTTAAATATTAAGAAAAATATCAAAAGCTTAATTCTTTTGTTTTTTATCATCAAGATGTAATCGATTCGAATGTACAAATCATTATGATTAGGCATACTAAACTAGAACAAATGAATTTACACTAAATAAAATTCTATTATATTCAGTGATTCCTATGAAAGGTAAAAAGTCTACCATAAATAATTCTAATATGAATCCATAGAAAATAGATCACATCTGTAAGTTTAATTCATTCCTATGATCAAATTTCATAGTTCAACAAATCTATATCTATTCCTCTTACTTACACATCGTGGAGGAGCATAGACCGCCCACCCGACACTGTTCTGGGCAATGCTGTTACAGGAGAACTGAAGACATTTGACGGATTAAAACCTTTTTATTGTAATATTAATAACTTACTGTGTTTTTGGATGCATTCGTTTTACTTAACTTTTGAACCTGTTTGTTTATATCATTATTTCGGACATTTCGGTTTCCCTTTGGCGTTGGTTTGCTATTTGGTAGTTTTGCTCCGGGAACCTACAAAATTGAAGGTTTGTTTTGTAATTGTTATAATTATTGTTGTTAGAAAGACGTTTGGTTGACTATTTGTGAATTGCAAACAAATTTGGTATCTGAATTGGAGTTTTGGTTCTGTTGTCAATTTGGGTTCGTAATTTGCAAGTAGATCGATAGTTCGTACTTCAATAACTGGAACGAGCAAAACTTGGACGTAACAATGCTTTCCAGTTCTTTCCAGTTGTCATTCATTCTTTTCATATCTGCTTCCATTTCCTGACGTAGTGTGTTCTTTAGACTTCCTCTTCAAGATTCCTAGTTAGAGCTTGCCTCGTAATACAGTGCAATGATTTCCTGTTTGACTAACTTCCTCCTCAGCTGGAAGTTGGTATGTTCTCTCCCAAAGTGGGCTGTTGCTGACGGCATCAGGCTAACGGACATTCAGTATCTTACGTAGACAATTGTTTATAAATACTTGTACACTTTTGGTGATAGTTGTAATAGTTCTCCAAGATTCGGCTCTATACAGTAAAACTGTCTTGACGTTCTCATTAAAGATTCTGACTTTGATAGTGGTTGACAGTTGTTTTGTGTTCCATATGTTTTTCAAATTTAGGAATGCGGTCGTTGCTTTGCCGATCCTCTCCTTTACGTCTACGTCCGACCCTTCATGTTATATCTAATCTTCAGTTGAGCTATAATATACATTTTTGTATTCGTGAAAACGTAATGATACTATCTTAGTTACATCTGGTTTATTTACACTTTCTCGTTAATCATAAGAACTATAGAAGGTCATTTAATGATATTTCATTCGAAATAATTGATCATGGGAAACTAATTTATTTTGGAATCAAAGATTTTGAAAAAATAACAAATATAAGGATTAGAAACTATCATTTGAGTAAAATTATGTAAGTTGAGATACGTAATCTACACAAACTCGTTAAATGAAATTGTCAATTGTTGTATTTATAATGGAACATAACTGATTTGTATGATTAATGTGGCACTTCTTAAAGTGATACACTTTTTTACCTGAAAGTGTATTATTTCAGTGATAACAGAAACTTTTCAAGAAGAGCCTCTTAATGTTATGCTTAACTTTTCTAATATTTATTATTATCAGTATGACCAGAGCCACGATCGTAACTAATTGCTGTAGTAGTGTGTTTGCTTAAAACGTTCAACTATCTTAGCCTATTAAACACAAATTAGTTTAAACTTATGTATCGAATTTTATTCTTTGAACAATTTAAGTGTGTTTGTACAGTACAATTTCACCTATTGCTTCATGTTATTCTAGCTTATCAATAAATGATATACTTTACTTCATAATGAGTTAAGTTCTTTTATGTTACGGTGATATTTAAAAGTATTCGAATAATTGTATTAATTAGGAATCCCCGAAATAACTCAGTTTAAGTGAGAGAGAACAAGGTGAGCACAAACAAACGTATTAAAGTTGAAGTTTGAAATCGGGCACCCATCAAGTACTAAAGAATCATTAGTTCATACAAATGCCACAGCTACGTATCACTATTTCATGAATTTTAAGTCCTTAGAAAATAATGATCTGATTTTATAGTAAACTTTACCATGTGAATTTATCATAACTCCTCAGATTTCACATCACCAAAAACACTTGAATATGTTAAAAGTTTCACATAAAACTAAATCAGAAGTGTTTTGAAAATTACTTTCATCCTCAGTGGATGAAAAACTGGGCCCAAACTATTACTGTGGTGTGTGCTACTTATGTCGACAGATATAAGTAGTATGTAACATCAATCAAAAGTTGAATGGCTGACAGTATAAGGTTGGTAAGATGGTATCGAAGAGGACAGGAACAGTAAAATTTAAGACAGTTGATAGAGGATTTTCAAATGAAGCATTTAATGTGTGGTTCTGATATTTTACCAAGATATTCTGTAACTTTGCACTGAACTATAAGTCGGTTGTCCCCACTTGAGTTCTCGTTCACTACAGTATCACGAAATATTCTGGATCGCTTCATATACGTTTTAACAATTATAGTAGGAGTGGATTTGATCGTTGTAAATAAGTTACCGGTAAATATCATGTATTCTATTAACTGTTGCAATTTTTTTACATAGCATCCGTTTTCAGGATTAGTAATAAAAAGTTAAATGTAGTATGTGACATTCAGACATATAAAGGCAAGTACGTGAAATTGACTGAAAAGGTTAATAATCTCAGTTAGAAACGTCAG